TTAGATACATATTACAAAAAAAGTATATATATAATCATTACATATATAATTATTATATACTAGTATAAAATATGACACAAAGGCTCGCGAGCCACGACCCTAAAATAAATAGGTTTCAATTGAGCTTGTTAACTATTCAAGTCGAGCCGAACTTAATATGGCTGAACTCGAGTCAAGCTTTTCCCGAGCGATCCACGAACATCTCGCAAGCGGTTTGACTCATTTACACCTCTACTAGGAATGGAGATGCCACCGCCAATACCAAAATTGAGGAACAGGCTGATTTTTTACGATAATAAAATTGAGAAAATGGTCAAAATGGTACATGAAGTTGTATTGATGGGAGTAAGTAGTACTTCATCTTACATTTGAAACTTAAAAGTACTTGAACTTATATTTTTATAGTCCATCAAGTACATTTGCTCTATCAGAACGTTAAAATAATTGAACTGGTCAAACTAATAGTTTTTAATATATCATTGCAGTCCAAGTAATCCAAAAATTAATCTATAAACTCTAATTTCCTCCAGTTCATTCCTTTCCACCTTCGTTCTTCATTTTATATATTTCACATTTTCTCTCCCTTCTCTCGCTCTTCATCTTATATTTCTCTTGTCTGCTCTCCTAGTGCGGAGTCAGGACACTGGGCCGAACTGGAGCAGTACAAAGAATATTTTTTAAAAAAACTACACATTTTTTTACTTTAAAATTAAAGCATTTTTTAAAATTGAGGTGGGCAAGGGACTAGGTTGGCCCCCTCTAGCTCTGCCCGTGTTGCTCTCCTTCTCTTTCGTCTTCTCTCCCTGCTATCCCACAGCTTCTTCTTTTATTTGCTATCGGTCGATCTTTATTATAGCTAGAGAAGAAGAAAATAAAATAGAGCAAAAAGAAGAAGCCGATAGGATAGTAGGGAGAGCAGACGGGAGAAATATAAGATGAAGAGTGGAGAGAAGAGAGAGCAGACAAGAAAAATATGAGATGAAAAGTGAAGGTGAAAACGAGTGGACAGGAGGAAAATAGAATTTATAGATTAATTATTTAATGACTTGGAGTGCAACTGTATAATACAAAAGGATAGTTTGGCCAGGTCAGCTATTTTAACGTTCTGATAGAGAGAATGTACTTTAAAATTTCAAATACAAGATGATGTACTACTTACTCCCGTTGATACAACTTTGTGTACCATTTTGACCATTTCCTCTAGTAAAATTTAAGTAGCTAAATCATCCTGAATATAAATTAAGAAATTTATTTAAATAGAATTATCCTTATTTTCTTCTTAAAATTTTTCTTCTTAAAATGTGATTGTTTACTATTAAAATGACAAGTTAATTATCTTATCAGGATTAAGTAAATCCTACTTTAAGAATAAGTATTACGTATAATAGTAATTACTCTGAACAGGACTAAAAGTTACCAAATTGCACTAATTACTAATAGGACTCCATATTTATAATAATTCATAAATAGGACTCTAAATTATGAGAATACCATCCTAAATAAATTTCTATCGTGCTCCTCTCCCTCCATATCCCATATTGAACCAAAGAAGATTGAGGAAGCAATAATTGATTCAGATTGAATCCTCTATGCTAGAGGAACTCAATCAATTTGAAAGAAAAAAAAGTATGGGAACAGGTACCCAAACCGCAATACCAACATGTGATAGGTACTAAATGAGTATTCAAAAATAAGATGGATGATAGAAAAACAATTGTTGGGAATAAAACCACACTAGTGGCCAAAGGTATTGCCAAAAAGAAGTGTTTGATTTTGATTAAACCTTTGCCCCAGTTGCACGACTGCAAGTTATACAGTTATTCCTAGCTTCTGCAGCACACAAGCATTTCACGGTCTACCAAATTGATGTGAAGAGTGCTTTCCTAAGCGGTCTACTAGAAGTCGAGGTTTATGTGGACCAACCTCCTAGACTTGAAATCAAAAATAGGAAAAATGAAGCTTACAAGCTAAGAAAGGCTCTCTACGGATTGAAGCAAGCTCCAAGAGCCTCGTATGATACTTATCCAATATTTGGTAACCAGCGACTTTGCCAAAGGTAAAGTAGACAAAACTTTGTTCAAAATTGATGAAAGATCACACATATTACTTGTACAAATCTATGTTGATGACATTATATTTGGAAGCACCAATCAAGCACTATGCAAGAAGTTTACAATTCTCACGCAAAACAAGTTTGAGATGAAAATGAAGGGACATTTGAATTACTTCGTAGGCATACAAGTGAAGCAGACCCCACAAAGCACTTTCATCAATCAAGATAGAAACAAAAGAGACCTGATGCTGAAGTTTCACACGAAAGGCAGGGCTTCTGTAAAAATTCCAATGAACACATCACAAAATCTTGATTCATATGAAGAAGGAAAGGAAGTTGATCCCTCTGATACTAAAAGCACAAAGGAGTCATTTATATCAAACGGGTCCTAAAAATTTAGAGCACATTAGAAAATCAAAGAAGAGTTCAACGACTAATGAGTGGCCCCCACTAAAGTACTAGCTAATTGAGATAATTAAGTACTTTCATGCACTAACCTTTTTTGTAACTTATCCATCTCAACTTAACTACCTGCCATGTGAAATATATCGACATTCAGTCAACATACTTTCTCTATCCATCAAATACACCTCTCCATAAAAATCACACCTTACTCTCCCAATACACTACTCATCTTCATACAAATACATTCACCAATTCCATTAACTCCACATAACTCAGGTTTATCAAATTTTCCTAAAGCTAGCAGCCTTTTATGATGCCAAAAGGAGGGAAAGAACTCTCAAAAGAAAAAGAGAAAGGATCAGAAGAAAAAGGGGGAAAAGAACTCTCAAAAGGCAATGTTATAATGAGTGGTCACTACAACCGGGAGAAAGGAACTGCCGCCAAAGGTTGAACGAGGTGCTAGCTAGGGTTCAAGAAATTTATTTAGCTTGCTTTGTCTTCTTCATGTTTCGTTTCGAACATCATATCTTTTTGTTTACTTCTAATATTATTCTTGTTTTTTTTGGTACATCGGAAAAGAAATAGCACAATGCAATGCAAAAAGGAATAAACAAGCAAACAAAGTTATTATGGTCTAACAAATTCTAGGCCATTGCCATCCTCCCAAAGTATGCGGTCAATTCCTTCGGGCGGGTTATTTAGGATTGTAAGCCCTCGTGGGGCCGTGTGAGCCATGTTGGCGAGGAAATCCGCGGATCTATTTCCTTCTCGTAATGTGTGTTGCAGCGTGAGTCCATGACCATTTTCAAGGAGTGCTCGACAGTCCTGGACCAACGTTGAAATATTTTCTTCAATTTGCGGTGTTCGTTTCTTGACCGCCTGAATAGCTGCTTTAGAGTCCATTTCCACTTCCACGTTGATCCACCCTTTTTCTCTGACCAATATCAACCCTTGCCTAAGACCCCAAAGCTCGGCGTTAAAGCTATTCTTGTTAAGACTCTAGAACATAAGCCAGGTGATAGAGAGTCTAGTTTGCCAGTCATTGGCTCAGGTAAGCCCAATTCAGGATCATCGAATCTGGTTGCTTCATTTGAAGTGATAGGTTCTAAGTCTGGTTCAAGAGCGGACAGTAGACATTGGGCTCTTTGTCTGTTTGTATCCAGTTTATGTTTTCTCTTATTAATATAAGACATCCTCTTCCAAAAATAAATCATACATCTTATACATTCATTACACCCCAATTTATTCATTTTTAGTATATTCATTAGTTGATGCTTGTCTAAAATCTTTATCGTGTTCATTTTACAATATCACACCCATGCTCATTTCTTTTAAACATTGTATTCATTTCGCTATAGCATAAATTCATTTCTATACTCTACACATGTAATAAAATCATTACAAGCTACTTTAGTATAATTAGATTTTTTTTAAATTTTTTTTTTATGTAGATTTATCCATGAGAAATATAGCAATTCCATTAAGAAAAGTAATTCACAATTTCTTATTCTAGATTTACAAACCTAATTTGCTTATTTTATAATGTTGCACTAATTGACATTTATTGTAAATATTATAATCATTGTAGTATAACACAACTCATTTCAATATATATACGTAATAGATTCAGTACAATTCAAATTAATAAAATTAGTTATTCTTTTTTATTTCCTATAGAAAAAAATCGTTTGAAAATCACAGTATATCAAATTCATTTGAAAATCGTTCGAAAATCATTTACATGTCAAACTCAAGGCAAAAAAAAAATTCTAAACAAATGAAAAGGTTAGTATAGGTATAACCTTTTCAAAATAAGAACTATTGTGCTAAACAAATGAAGCATATTGCATGTCTAACATTTTATAAAAGTACAACACACACTATCATATTAACTTTTTCGTATTTTTTCAAAAAGTCGATAGGCATTCAATATTTATAGGTCAATTTAAAAACAAATACTCCCTCCGTCCCTGAAAATACTTCCATTTCGCTTTTCGAGAGTCAACTTAAATCATTCTTAAACTCTTACTTTATATATCAAAACTTTATTAAAATTGAATTTTTTTTTGCAGGCTTTATAGCGATTTTAATGTAGTTTCTGAATATGTAAATTTTATTTACTAAAAAAAATCTAGTTTTCACAGGGATCATTTAACTTTATCGTTGGTCAAACTTCGTAACCCGCAATTGGAAGTAAATTCAGGGACAGAGGGAGTACTTGGTATGTTATTAGTGAAAGACGGAGAAGTGTGTTTTAATCATTTTTTGTCATCTCATTTGATTTTTAATACTAGTAGCTCGTCCCCAAAAAATATTCTCACTCAGCTTTTTAATATTTGTACTTATGTAACTAATATTTGTTTAATGACACAATCATAACATTACATTTTTGCTTTACATTTCTACTTTTATTCACACTTTGTTGATAAACAAGTTCAAGTCAAATTAGATTTTTTTTTGGGATGGAGATAATATAAATTAAGCGTTGTTGATACAAAAGAAACAAATTAAAGAAAGAGAAACAATAGAAACTAGGTGACAACTCGGGTACTTATAAAAATTGGAGTACCGTACCTACTATTCATTTGATTGGACCACATCACTTTATCATTTTTAATTTAAATTTAAATAATTCAACCGCTACATTCTCATTGGTCCAAACTACATATATTGTCCTTGATCATGTTGATAATGAGATGTTAGTAAAATTCGATCATCAATATATAATCCATTCCAAATTAAAACATGATCGAAGAATTGAATATGTAGATCAGATGAGGGCGGCGACGCATGGCCGGCCGGTGTAGATATAAAAACCTCATCATCAACTGTACTACTGATGGATCAGATCTTATTCCAGGCCAGAAGAAGAGGCGGACCCTCCGTGGTGAGGCGATGGAAATGAAACCCTGCCCAGAAAAGGTTGTGTGTGAGGATCATGAGCGCCGCCGCCACTGCTCGTCATGAGCGGCGACGTGTAGGCGGCCGGCGGCGGCTCAAAATACATGCTGTGATTACTTGCGGCTCTCTGAGGAAAGTTAATAAGATTCTCCAGCACTTGGTGCGCCCCGAACCTGAACCCCAATCCGGCCGCAGCCGTTCCGCCGGGAAATGAAAACGGGGACGGCGGTGGAGGCGGAAGCAGACCCAGGCCGCCGCCGGTGAACTGTTGGACCATGGCCCTGAAGTTGGAGGGGTCCGTGTTGAAAACGGTGGCGGGAGTCCGCCGCGACGCCCTGGGCCTCCGCCGGGCTGGCTTTGCCACCCGGCCCTCGGGGCTCAGGCCGTGAGACGGTGAGGTGGTGGCCCCGGTTGTGGCGGTGGGCTGTGCGTTGCGTTGACAGAATTGCACCCAGCTGCAGTCAGGGGCTAATGACGGCGAAGTTTCATTACTTTCACTCATGCCCGCCCGCCCTATCAAATTAAACACTCACTTTTTATGCTTAATTTGGCCTGCTAATTAAGACCCACCGCCTCAACTCACCTATTTATACTTGTCATAAGTGGACAAAGAAACAAATTCTAAGCTACACGAAATCAAGAGGTCGTTTCATAATATTCATTGAATTTGTGGTTGAAGTGGCTAGATTGACTAATTTGATTTATGAAAAAAAAATTAATTATGTTTATATGGTTTGTGATTCTTCTTTGTGGCACAATAGGTTATGTCATGTTAATTATCGTAGACCGAGTGACATGTCTAAAGTAGGATTAATTCCTCCTTTTAATGCTAACATAGAAAAATGTAGAACTTGTATGTTAAACAAAATCACTAGAAATTCTTTTCAAAATGTTGAAAGAAAATCCAACATGCTTGAATTAGTGCATAGTGATTTGTGTGATTTCCATAGCACTCCATCTTTTAGAAATAAAAAATATGTGGTCACATTTATTGATGATTGCACAAGATATTGTTATATATATCTTTTATTTTTAAAAGATGAGGCAATGGATAAATTCAAAGTTTTTAAAACGGAAGTTGAGTTACAAACCGGAAAGAAAGTAAAAAGGCTTAGAATTGACAAAGGGGGAGAATATTATGAGCCTAAGTTTTTTGAATCAGTTGGAATAATCCACGAAACAACAGCCCCTTACACGCCGCAACAAAACGGCATTGTTGAAAGAAAGAATAGAACTTTGAAAGAAATGGTTAATTCCATGTTGTCTAATTCTGGCTTAAGTAATGAATTTTGGGGTGATGCTATGTTAACTGCTTGTTATATTCTTAATAGAGTGCCTAACAAGAAAAATAAGATTACCTCATATGAACTTTGGCACAAAAGAACACCCCAACTAAGTTATCTTAGGGTATGGGGTTGTAGGGCAATCGTGAGATTACCGGAACCTAAACGAAAGACGTTAGGTGAAAAGGGGGTAGAGTTCATATTTATTGGATATGCTGAACATAGTAAATCTTATCGATTCTATGTTATTGAACCGAATGACTCAATTGCGGTTCACACTGTTATTGAGTCTAGGGACGCTCTTTTTTATGAGAAGCGGTTCACTTCTATTCCTAGGCCAAAGGATGTTGATCCCGGTCCAAGTAATTCACGCTTACATGAACTGGAAAAGGATCATGAAAATGATCCTGAAATAAGACAGAGTAAGAGGGATAGAAAAGAAAAGTCATTTGGTCCTGATTTCCAATTATATTTGGTTGAGGGATCAAGAGAGACCCTTGAAACTCAAACACTATATCGTTATAGTGTTGAGGAGGATCCTAACTCTTTTGAGGAGGCAATGAAATCACAAGATGCTCCCCTCTGGAAAGAGGCCGTGAATGATGAAATGAATTCAATCATGGGCAATAATACTTGGGTTCTAAGTGATTTACCACCTAGTTGCACACCAATCGGTTGTAAATGGATTTTCAAGAAGAAAATGAAAGTAGACGGTACCATTGACAAGTTTAAAGTTAGATTGGTTGCACAAGGCTTTAAACAAAAACATGGTATTGATTACTTTGACACATATGCACCGGTAGCTAGAATAACTACCATAAGATTGTTAATTGCTTTATCGGCTATTCACAATCTTGTAATTCACCAAATGGATGTCAAAACTGCATTCTCAAATGGTGAATTGGAGGAGGAGGTGTATATGAAACAACCTGAAGGGTTTGTTGTTAAAGGAAAAGAAAAGAAAGTTTGTAAACTTGTCAAGTCCTTGTATGGTCTGAAACAAGCACCTAAACAATGACATCAAAGATTTGACGAGGTGGTGCTGAAAATGGTTTTAAAATTAACCAATCAAACAAGTGTGTGTGTAGCAAATTTAATGAGCATGGTAATGGTGTCATTATCTGTCTATATGCGGATGACATGCTCATATTTGGCACTGATTTGAGGCTAGTAAATGAGACAAAGGCTTTTCTCTGTTCAAACTTCTCCATGAAAGATATGGGTGAAGCGGAAGTTATCCTTGGAATTAGGATAATCAAGCAAGGTGATACTATCACCTTAACACAATCTCACTATATAGAGAAAGTGTTGAAAAGATTTGGGAGTTTGGATTGTTCACCGGTTTCCACTCCCATGGATCCTAGTTGGAAATTAGTTCCAAATAGTGGGAACGCTGTATCACATCTTGAATATGCTAGGGTGATTGGGTGCTTGATGTATGCAATGACTAGCACCTGACCAGATATTGCATTTGCGGTAGGAAAGCTAAGTAGATATACTAGTAATCCTAGTATATTTCATTGGCAAGCCTTGAGGCGAGTGCTGAAATATCTAAAGAAAACAATGAGCTTTGGCTAATGTTACAAGAGTGAACCCTCTATATTAGAAGGTTATACGGATGCAAGTTGGATAACTAATCAAGAGGATTATTCATCTACAAGTGGATGGTTATTCCTTCTTGGAGGAGGTGCTATTTCATGGGCATCTAAGAAACAAACTTGTATCACGAACTCTACCATGGCTTCGGAGTTTATAGCTTTAGCATCAGCTTGTAAAGAAGCGGAATGGCTAAAGGACTTGGTGTCGGAAATTCCGATATGGCGATTATGGCCTAAACCTATGGCTCCGATATCAATCCATTGTGATAGTGCATCAACTCTGTCAAAAGCTTATAACCATGTGTACAATGGTAAGTCCAGGCACATAGGGGTGAGACACAGCTATGTGCGGGAACTTATTGGTTCTGGAGTTGTTGTGATTGATTTTGTACGATCACATGTAATTTTGGCGGACCCTTTTACAAAGGCGATGCCAAGGGACATGGTGTACAAAACTGCAAAAGGGATGGGGTTAAAGCCCTTGGAAAATAATCACAAGTGAAAGAAAGCACAACTCAACGTCTAGTACAACGCTAGATCTTGAGTTCAATGATGATGAGTAAGTCACTCCGTGATTGAAGCACTTTTGAATATTAACCATCCCGAGGTAAGTGCTTGAGACTGCAATGTGTAATGAGGTTGACTATGTCTTAATAGAACTTTTGATAAAGTGTTTGATTGCAGGACACGATTTGAAAAGATCTACCTATGTGAGCTAGAATGGCGGCCGATTCACCAAGTTTAAGGCTTTACTTGTTGGAGCTCATGAATGGATATGGACACAAGACTGTTAATAGTGTCAAGTTTCTAAGTGAAATTGTATAAAGATTTGTGTGTGCAATATCTTTAGTATTTCAAAGTGGTTATATAGTTCAAAGCTTAGTCTACTATTATGATCCGAAATATTGTAAAGAATATTGCACTAAATGAAAGTTCAATCTTTATGACACTTTCAATTATGCATAAATCTTGATAAGTGGTCTATTTTGGCAAGGATTGAGTATTTTTAGTTTCAATAAATGGAGGAGGATTGTTGGAATTTATTGAAAATGAAGCTCAATTGTTCAACATTATATTTGAACATTATCTTAATAAATATTAATTATTGAGAATAATGTTAAAGAATATTTATTGTTATTATAATTATACAAATTATGTGACTACACAAGTGAATGACTAGTCGTAATTTGTATAGTATTAATGATAGTAAAGTAATCTTCAGATGGTTGTGAGGCTGATCATGTGTAATCCGTATTATTTAATTAATTGAAAATTGAATATTGAATTAAAATGTTTTATGCTTGCATGCGGCAGTTACATATAACTCAAGTATTTTGTGCGCATATCGTTTTAATATCAAGGAACGTGGCTTTTGGAAAAGGCATCAGATGTTTTCAAATTATAATAGATAATCTTTCACCGAATTGTTTCTAAGAATAGTCACAACCATTTAGAAGTGTTGCCTTTTGATCTATAAAAGGTGGAAGAATGTTGAGATGGAGACACGCCAAAAATTCATTTTGTCAAATTCTCAAATTTGTCTTGCTCTATTATTTTTATCTGCAGTGTTAATAATAAAAGGTTTAGACCACTTTATATACATATCACTTGTTTAGTGTTATTTTGTCAATAGCCAAAATACACTATACACCTTCTTTTTATCCCAAAAGTTCTATCTTGCAACCCGGTTACTCTGTAAGGGTAGATAGTAAACTTTTAGGAAAGCGTATTTTATACGTGACTAGAAGTGATATCCGGTTCAGCCATATTTTATACCCTTATATTATTTCTATTATTATCCTCCTGCTCTAACAAAATCTTCTAAAGATAAGCTTTGGATGTTATTGTTGTGTTTAAGCACATATGTGCATGTCATGTGTGTGTATTACACGATTGAGTTCTGGTGAAATGACACACTTAATTTATATGTAATTTAAAATAAAGAATTCGACCATTTTGTGCATTGATTTTGGAAAATAATTCTTGCAGTTGCCCAAATCCTAGCTTCTCGTTCAATAATTTTTGTAGTAGATAATATGCACTAGCTGCACATGCAGTGCAAGGGGTGAACTACTATACGTACATCATATCAATTTTTATGGTTACATGATATCAAATTGTTGACTCATATATTAAGTGTTCATTGGTTTCAATGTATAACATCAAACTTTCATTGTATTAATTATGAACTAGATACATTCTCATTTTTCTTGACAAGAAGACTTTTTATATGAAACAAATTATATACATGCATATGTATATAATAAACAGATTATATAACATGAAGGCATGTACATATTTTTAGCAAGTATTTTTACATTAAAATATTACTCTCTCCGTCCCGCTAAGATTATCTCATTTTACCTTTTCGAGAAGTCCATTAAGATTGTCTCATACCAAATTTGATAAAGTTTGTGTGGCTCTAAATCATTCTTACTTTATTCTTAATTAATCAATTTATTATCAACCGTATAATCCCACTTTTCTGAATAAGTGTGTCGCATCTTCTTGTCTCAATGTTAGTGAGACGGAGGTATTATCATTTAAATAAAAAAAATTATCAAGTATATTTACCACTAAAAAAGTAAATTTCTGTCATAGTCATGTGATGACATTATTACATACTAATTAAGAGATATATACATGGTATATGCATGCATGGAAG